TAGCACTGCAAAAGTTGTTTTTTTAACTATTTCCTGAGCAAACCATCTTTAAAATCTTTCAAATTCAATATTAACATGCCCTTCCCATCAAAATTCGTATAGGAGGACGATCAAATAATAAACCCAAGAGGTATTACTTTGGTACAATTTATGAACAAAAATTTGTAAAATTCATTTTGGTATTCAAGAAATATTTAAATTAAACAAATAATAATTCATATTTTTCGAGTTATTCTATATGCTGTGTTTTTTGTTAATTCATTATATTAGCATAGTTTTCAAATTACTTATTAAAAGTAAAAATGTAATGCTATTTATTATTGTCAGCACAAACTCTTCATCTGGAGTCATTTTCATTAAAAAATATTTTTTTTGTTAATTAACAGAATATTTTAAAAACCAAAAACTTTCTCATATATAAAGCACTACTGTTATTTAAATACATATTTGTAATATTTAATTCAAAAAGACAAAAATCTACTTGAGTTTCCTAATACAAGTTATACAACATCCAACCAAATCTTAATTAAATTTAGGAATTACATTTTCAATAGATTTTGATCTTTAAATGAATATATTTTAACATATTTTCCGCGCGTAGCGCGGACAAAGACTCTAGTATTTGTTAAAATGTTAATGTGAACGCTTACTATAGAACAGTCGATTAGTCACAAAAAAAGAGAACATTCGATGGTTAGAAGGAAGTCATGGTTTAGTTGCAAGAATTATTAGAGTATACACTCATGCAAATGCTTGTTTTCTCCTCAGTCCATTTCAGAATCTCTATAACTACATCGAGACGCACTGTTTGGGTGCACACTCTTGCTCAAAGAAACTTGAACTTAACTGGCATGTAATTGAATGCAAGCTGACCCAAAGTGGAGTGACCAATGTTGAAACTTGAAACGGTAACGACTGACCACGTGATTATAGTCTTGGAAAAATGACTTCAGAAATTATACATCCCTTCCGCCATATGGACACTTTTTGAATTCCGAGAATGATAGATTCTTATCACAAAGAATTTTCAATATGGTACTACATAGATAAAAAGAGAATGGAATTTAAAACCATAATAGGGAAAATACTTATACCTTGGAGAAAGATTAAACTTAGGGAACCTGATGATGGAACTATAGAGGAACTCTCAGACATTATAGAGTTCAATTGTGATGAACCTTCAAGTTAGCATATGCGTTGTATGCTTAAAACTATATGAATCCTATTTGAAATGGCAACGAAAACCATATATTTAAATATATACCTGAGAGAAGATTTCTTTCCTTCAGACAACAAAGAGCACAGTGTAGTACTTATAAAACAGAGAAGCATAAGGGCTGTAGCGTAAGGCTTAATGATAATAACACTCATTGAAAAAGTTAAGCTAGTACCTCTCTTTTGGGGTAAACCAAAGTGATTCAGTTGAAACCTGCAATGACAATCAATGCTTAGCCACCTGATCAAAAAACATCAACGCTTAGCCACCTGATCATGGAAACAAAACAAACTAATGCCATGACGGAAGCATAATAGATAGATGGAACATGTATGGCGTATCTCCTCGATAATGGGAACATCTATTTCACAACTTTGTACTTTGGAGAAGTACATGACTAAACGAAAGAAGGGGTTGGACCTTGGACAGTAGTTATTTTCACATACGTGGGCACAAAGGTTCATATTGCTAAACAAAAAAAAAAGTTTTCAGCTCTAAGATAAAAAAAATTGTTTAGTAGTAATGTAAGAACCTACCTGAGAAGTATGGTCTTCATCCTCCACACCTGTAACCAATAGCAGTTAACATAAATAATTCTGGAACAGTAATCAAAGTGCTTTAGTGGAAGCGAATAGTGTACTCATTCGTGGATAAGGCAGATAATATATAACGCCATGGATCTTCAACTGGTAAGCTCTAGGAAGTCGAAGAGGTTGTTGAGCTCAAATAAAACAACAGTCGTAGAGGCCCGGAAGATCCACGGGGGCTGAGGGAGGAGTAATGCAGGAACCCTAGATGCTGAAAGGCATCATGTTCCAAAATCAATACGGATGCTTATCGGGCTGATTTTAAGAGGTTTAGGCTCAATATTATGTGTAAAGCCCAGACGAAATTGTCAAACATATTGAATATCTGACGTGGCTCTCTCACTGAAGAGAAAACCTTACTTTATAGTAATAGATTGATAGATAGATGTTCTTTTCCTATTTGTTCATCTTGCTTCTTGAAAGATCACCAATCAGACCCTTAACTTTAATTAAATTATCTGGTGATGTGTTCTATATTTGCTCATTTAATGTAAATTAGAGATACTAGATCTTTTTTCCGCACTACACGCGGATAATTTACTTGGAATTGTTTTTGGAGAAATGAATATACATGATTCATGTATGTAAAGTATAGAAAACATATAAGCTGATAAAAGTGTTTTAGTTGAAGACATTGTATTTGTTAAACCATAATGTGAGCTTTTGTTGATACTAGTCTATAGTTTGACATTTTTTCTTTTTGATTGTGTCTTTATGAATTTCTATGAAGTTCTTGATATTCTCCATATCTTTGATGGTGCTGAAACTTATTCCTTGAGTAAAGATGAATATCAATTTTCCTAATATTAATCAAAGTATTAAGAGAATATTGCTGACGTATTACTAAGTTGATTTGTTTATCTTTTATTATTTTAGAATTTATGAATGTGGCTAAGACAACACCATCTTTGTGTGAATGATGTGATTTGGAAAGAGCGGAAAAAAATCTTTTAACGCTAGTGATAACTTAGGCAAAATTTTAAAATGTGTGTATGAAAAAAAGTTCAACCAATACATAAACTCCATTTTCTGTCACAATATAGAGGAGACTATTCTAAAGAGAGGTCCGTAATTTGAATGGTACGAAATGGAGGCCCTGACGGCTTTTTAAATCAGTTATAATCTTAAATTCATGTTTAAGTATCATCATATAGTAAAACAATACGTATGTGGCCTTAGTTAAGTTGGGATCTTGGTTCTCTAACGCGAGGGTGAAGATATGATCCTTTCATAGACGCCTAAGTCTTGGTGATGGTGCTAATAGTTAAATCAGAAACATATTTAAATAAATGTCAAAATATTTGTTTATTACCTTCATATGATAGTAGATTGTTGAAATTTTATTTATACAATTTTTTTGGTGGGATTTTATACAATATTGTCTTCAATTTTACTGTAGGTGAATCTTTTCCTTGTAAAATTGTCATTCATGTTTTGTTAATAACACGTGAGATAGCATCACATAATTATCCATGAATAAAAATTGGTTTTGGTAAATATAGGTAAATCCTTTTAAGCTTAGACCTTAGTTCTTATTTATTGTCATAGCGTAACATAGTTTGATAAGACACTTGTTTCTATGTAGGAGAAGTCTTTTACCAACGTGAAAACCACTGACAATTTCTGATTTCGATCGACTAAGTAAGTCACAATGAGCCGTGTACCATTACATAATCCTTTTCTGATTGATGTTTCTCTAAGCATAACAGAGATCAAGATTAAGTCTGAACCTATGTGAATATATATCCGGAATTCCAAAAAAAAATCGTAACAGCATATAATGTTTTATTCTGTTTTTAGAGATTTTCTAATATCTTAGATACTTTTGTAAGACTCCATCAGTATAGGAAAGTGTATAAGCATTGATTTCATCGACGATTTTATTTTGTGGTGCAAGTATAGCTCTTTTTGTGGCAAAGTTGTAGAATGCTTTCAATTTTTTTCAGTTCTCAATTTGTACTCTCCACCATTTGTTGCTTGGTTCTTCATTAATCTCCTTAACCAGTTATATACGGATGAGTTTCTCGAATTAAGTTGTTGTGATGTGCCAATATGGTTTTTCTGATATTTGAAACCCAATAATTACCTGAAATCAGTGACTTATTCATCCCAATTAAAAATATAAACATATAATAAAGTTGTATTTTGTGGTCTTACTCGATTCGTTAATTTATTGGGACTTAAATTATTTTATAGAATTTGTTGATTTAAAATTGAAAGATGTGTTAAATTTGGAAACAATTGTAGAGAATTATGTATATTGTGAAAATCTATGAAATTAAAATATTATAATGATTTTAAGAATGCATAAGATATATGTAGTATTCTCAAAATTTTGTTGTGAGTTACAGGATTAACAATATAACTTCCAATACACTTATTTTAATAAATTTGTAAGATTATTAAAATTTAAACTTTATGAATAACAAAAGATTTTGAATAGAATTATAAAAGCATCAAACCAAGAACACTAAATTTTAATAAGAATATAAGAATCAATAAATCAATAGCACTAGACTTCAAAATTCTAATAAACTTTATAAATTCAATCCCCACTAACACTCCTAAATACTTTTTATCGTATTATTCATTATTGTTTTGTTAATAAATTACATGGGGTAAGTTAGATAGTGTGCTTGGTTAATAAAAATACTTGTTTTAAATTTGATGAGTATGGTATAGACGATAGTAAAACTCCTAGCGTATTTTGTATCTTTTTATGATATAAGATGTTTTACATTATACTTATATATTAAAAAAATAAAGTATTTAAAATATAATTTAAATCTAATTTATTACACTATAAATTAAAATAGTAAATATAATTAGGGTGGAGAGCTTATTGGCTTTAAGATGGTTGGAAAACGAAAATCCAATTAAAGTTATCTCTTTTAGAGAAGCACTGAACTTACCCTGCAAAATAAACCATTGGTATTGACTATTGAAATCAATGTTAAATGGCTACCAAAATATTTTACTAAAAAGAAAAATTAAATAAGAAGTAACAGTAATAAAAAGTCATCAAATGTTTAATTGATGGGTTCTTAAGTACAGAGAGAGGCCAAGGTAATTAAAAAAAGACACCACTACTTTAGCAGTAGGTACTTGTAAATGGTTATACTAAAAAGCGTGTTACAGAATTTGACTAAACTATCTTATGAAGTAGAACAATCTGGTCGTTGCACCATCAATACGCCTCAAGCCTCAACGTAATCATAACCAATAGGGTTTCCAGAGAGGTTAAGAACCTTCAACATAATATTTGATTGAAGAACATCATCAAAGGCTTTGACTCCTGCAGCTGTAATCTCATTTGCAGGAAAACTGACTTCTTCCACAGTCTGAACACACAATATGGGTATGGTTACTCAATCAACTCAAGAAGATCATGACTTTAATGAAGTTGGCAGATAGCATATGTGAAAGAGAGAGGCAGAGTTATAGACCTGTTTATACCCAAGGCTTTCAGCAAGAAAGAACATCCCTTTATCTCCTAAGTTGCATCCTAAAACATAATACTCAAAGGTAAGTTATACACCCAATATCATGATCAGCTACAAGTAATGTAATGATAGTTTAATTAAGATCATATTATGCACCTGACATATCAACACTTCTGAAGGACCTTAATTCTTTAGCTAATTCATTAAGCCTCTGTTTGTTCTCCCTATCAACCTTTGCAGCAAACCCTTGAAACAGATTAGTACCAGCACTGATTGACCATTTCACTCCTTGTGTAGAAGACTTGCTTTCACCAGATAAAGTCTTTGTAGACTTTGGAGACATGAACTTCTCCACCACTTTCCACAAAACTGCTAGCTGAATAAAACAAATTAGTACTAATAGAAAGAAAGAAAGGAACTTTCTAAGTTGCTATGTTGCCAACACAATCAGCGTACCGAAGGTGACGACAACGACTGAGCCAACAGGCAAGCTGTTAGAAGCAATATGCTGATCTTTAGCATTAGGGAAGGCACTAGCTTCTTGTGACTCCTTGTAAGCTCTACGCCTCGAGCTTCCCTCTGATGAAGCTCTGATCGCAGAAAGTCTCGGACTTTGCTGAAGAAACAACCGGTGGGTAGAAGCTGAGCCGCCACAAAACTTGAAACGTAACCCACTCCTCCATTGGTTTAACCCGTAAGAAGCCTGGAAAGTGATTGGAGAAAAAAACAAGGATTACTAATCAAATTCTACAGTAATCAAGTATTTAGCTTCTACATTAAAACCAGAGAGGACAGTAAGACTTGGTTAAATCATCAGTCTATTCAAAATCAATTGAAACACCCAAAAACCCAATATCCAAATACACAAAGAGCTTGCATATAGATTTATAAAACTAATTTAGAGTGGGAGAGATGAGACCACCTTAATCCAGAGTTTATGTCGTATTTCTTCTTCTCCTCAGAAAAACTGGAAGTGAAGAGATAGATTATATAGTGATTGCACTATAAAGCTTTATTAGTCACAATTTTAGCGTTACAGAGGAGAAGCTAAGAGGTGGGAACGGCTGGGTTTCAATTTAATACTAATGGATGATTAGTGGATTGATCTTTTTTTTTTCTTTATAACATTTAGTGGATTGACTCTAACTCTTTATATATTACTTAAAGTTCTATAAAATTTTTGATGTTTGTCATTGGTGAAAAATGTTTCAGAATTTTTAATATATACCAAAAAAATGATATTCTCTCCCCATTCTCTCCTTTTTCTCTTCTCCAACTTTCGCGTAATAAAGCTTTTTTTTTTCCAGCGGTCGTTCTACCATTCATGGTCACCGGATTCTCTCTTTCCACTGTCTAGCTATTGCTTTATTAAACTTCTCCTTTCGTTTTCTTAGAATAAGGTTGTGATTTCTACTGTAGAAAGGGTTTCTATCTGTGATTTTGTGTAATGTGATACTACTTCATTTCATAGTTAGCTTATGTGTTGGACATTAATTGGATCACAAAATAGTCTAACATTTTATAACAGTTTGATTATTTAACTATTAAATATACGTTGATATATATATTAAAAATAGAAACAAGAAAAAACAAGAAGAGCTTATAAGGACTAAGAGCATCTCCAACAGTGAGATTCATTGGGATCCTTAGCAAAAGGGCATCTCAGATTAAATTTGAATATTTCAGATTTTTTCTAAAAAAAAAAAAAAAATCTAACCAATCACGGGTCACCACATGTCAATGGGACCCGTGAATAGTGAACAAATTCATCAGATTTAATCCTTAGCTAAGGATTTTTATGGCACATAAACCTAAAATTAGTAGGTCCCATATAATTTTATATTACTTTTTTTTAAAGAATTGTTGTTAAGGACCCTCCATTGGAGCTGGTCTAAGAGCAACATTATTGGTGGTGGAGGGAGAGTTCTTACGTGCGGGTCCCACCACCTTGTCTCAATTTCCGTGTCAAAATATTCCAAAATAAGAAATATTTACACTGTGTCTTTTGTACTATTTGTGAGCTCCATAACATATATTAATAATATATTATCATTGTGCAATGCGTTTGGATTATATTAATAATATATATTTTATAGTTTTGTTTTATATTCTCTCTCTTTCTCTATATATATATATATATCTTTGTATTTAATTGAAGTGGTGATATTTATAAATATATTATTATCTGTGCTTGTGGCTTCGATGCAAACTACAATTGTTTTTTGAAGACAACATTATAAGCATATGTTTTCAGTAATTAGTAACATGCTCAAATCTTTTTTTGTCAAATTTGGACATAAAATATTGATAATGCTTATTATTGACGCCCATTGTATTTTTATGCATATTACTTCCAGTACTGGTTGATCACATGCAATCTGGTTTTCTAATCACCGATTCAAACAACAACAAAAATCCATTACCACACGTTGAATTGTGTAAATTTTTAACAAATATATGGATGTAACATTAGTAAAAGGAACAATGCCAATATATAGAGTTGTGTATGTTAGTTTTGATTTGAAAGTACGTAAAGATAACAAAAAGCTTTTAACATTTCGTAAGGTCTCTGTAGACCAGATCCATACTTTAGAATTTGAGTTAAGAGGAGTGTATATAATGCTTTTTAATTTAGTTTCACTAAGTTTTAGATTAATTTTGATATTTTATTGCCATACTCATTTATTATTCTTTCTATATATTTTACTATTTTTAAAAAGTATTTCTAATGAACGAAATTATATAAACATACCTACCACAAATATTTACGCAAAAAAAATATTTTACAAATTTTTCTTAAGTATTTGTTTTTTAAATAACTCCACTTATTACATTTTGCCTCCGCCTCTGTAGACTGGGGCGTAGCCACCTTATGTACTATGAGTGCATTTGCACCCTTAATAATTTTTATATATGTTTCAAAATTTTGTGAGATAAAACAATGAGAATTTGATAGATCAGTGGTAAAACTTAGGTTGTGCACTCCCAATAATTTAGGTTTGAGTCCTTCTTATGTTTTCTTTTATTTTTATTTTTAGTAGTGCACCCACTAGATAGAATTCCTAGTTTCGTTTTTCTGTAGATATGTATGTGTCAAGTATGAGATCGTATAATAACAAGATTTTATAATCTTGCAATTATAAGGTTTTAATTATTATGACATAGTTTAGGGATATCTAATCCTTACATGCTAGTTTTATTTCCGAAAACTTATCTCATCATTGTGCAATGTGCTTGGATTATATTAATAACTAGGTGATTTTCCCGTGCTCATGCACGGGCATAAATATTTATAAAATAAATATATTATAATACTTGATTAATATTTACTTTAACTTTTATATTAATTTATAGTTTTTATGTATAATTATATTAATAAAATATATTATTTTAGTTATATATAATTTTAGATATATTATATTTAGTTAGTTTATCATTTGGATATATATATATATATATATATATATATATATATATATATTGGATTCTATCTATTTCTATGAATTCAACTATAATCTTTTTTATTCTAAATATCTTAAATTTTTGATTAATTTTTTTATTTACATTTATGTTGGTTGTTATCTTAGAAATATAAGTATATCTTAGTAAGATTATGTATTTTAGTATTTTTTGTGCTTAGAACGAAAAAAATAAAAATTAAAGTGTCTGATTCTAAATTACATACATAAGAAATAATAAATTTTCAGAAGCTTATGAAAACATATCAATATTTACAATAATTAAATAGTTTAGAAATTTTAAATAATTTATGTCTTAGATTGATTGGATGGTAAACTGAAATTTATTTTAAATAATTTTTAAAATAAAGAATTATGATTTTCTTGAGTATTTTGATTATGGTTATATTAAATTCCACAAACATAAAAACAGAAAATTAAACATCAAAAAAGTTATTAAGAAAATATATATTTTATGATCTTTTAGTGTTATGATATTTTAAAAGACTTGTAGTTATCTGATCAAAAGATATTTACCATTAAATTTATTTTTAGTTTTTTTTTTCTTAATATCTCTTAAAATATGCAGTAAAGATGTGATTGTTTTTGAGAAATTATATTATATAAGTAAAATATAATTTATATTTTTTGCTGTAACGGTAAGATATTATAATCAAATAAATATACTAATTATAATTTTTTTTGTCAATTAAACATATATCAGTTTATGTTACTTAATTATTTTATGTAATCATCTAATAAAATAGATAGATATATACAAAAACTAATTACTTTGAAAATATATATTTTATTGTTTAAATTATTTTTTTTAAGAAAAAATATTTCTTTTTCTAATATCAAGATTATTTGTATGAAATGTTTTTATGAAAACACTTTATATACAAATATTTTTTCATCTATATATATATATATAAAGTATAATTACTTAAAAAGTATAATTTATGTTATTTAAAAATATATTTAAGTTAAATATTAATATTTTGCAAACTTTCTTTTTTTATGAAACCATATTATATATATACTTATTTTGCATTTTTAAATAGTTTTGTAAATTTTAGAAATATTTCCTTTTTGTTTTATATCGTTATTTGGAAGATTTTAAAAAGGAAATAATAATATTTAAATATATTTTTAATTCATTAGGGGTATCATAGTAATCAACCAGCGTGAGAGTTAACGTGAGCGCGACACCTAAGAAAGTGACTTCTCAAATAATATTATAGATAAATTATTTTTTTTAAGAAAAAATATTTCTTTTTCTAATATCAAGATTATTTGTATGAAATGTTTTTATGAAAACACATTATATACAAATAGTTTTTCATCTAAGAAGATATATATATATATATATATATATAAAGTATAATTACTTAAAAAGTATAATTTATGTTATTTAAAAATATATTTAAGTTAAATATTACTATTTTGTAAACTTTCTTTTTTTATGAAACTATATTATATATATATATTTATTACTATATATATATTTTTTTATGAAACTATATTATATATATATATATAAAGTATAATTACTTAAAAAGTATAATTTATGTTATTTAAAAATATATTTAAGTTAAATATTACTATTTTGTAAACTTTCTTTTTTTATGAAACTATATTATATATATATATTTATTTTTCGTTTTTAAATAGTTTTGTAAATTTTAGAAATATTTCCTTTTTGTTTTATATCGTTATTTGGAAGATTTTAAAAAGGAAATAATAATATTTAAATATATTTTTAATTCATTAGGGGTATCATACTAATCAACCAGCGTGAGAGTTAACGTGAGCGCAACACCTAAGAAAGTGACTTCTCAAATAATATTATAGAGATATATATTTTATAGTTTTGTTTTAGATTCTCTCTATATATATACTTATGTATAAATTATTATTATATCAAACAGAAACAGTTTTCTATTAGATCACTGATTGATTTCAATCCAAAGGCCATAAATTAATGTTTATTTTTTTCTTCTTTCTCATTGGTCAATTTCTTAAACACAAGGATAGCAATCTTAGCCATTGATTATATTTTGATCCTATGGCTATCAATCACAAATCTCACATCTCTTTCTATTTTCATTGTTACGATATCTCTCTTTTTTTTTCCAGATTTTTATCAAATCTCTTCTTCTCCTTCGAATCTGTTTCTTCCTCAATCACCACCACCACACGTCTTTTGTTTATCACTCACCATCACCACCACCACGAAGAAGAAGCAAGGCTCACCATCCCGACCACCACCACCACCACGCAAGACGTCTCTGCCTCTCTCTAAATCACCATTTCTCGCAACCTCTATGTTTCCATTCTTCAATTCAATTCCCAAAAAGGTACGTTCTTTTCATATCTTACTACAGTGACCCAGAAACCTGGGTTCAGTTTTGGTTGAAA